AGGAAGAAGGCGCAGGTAGGCGCACAATTGAGATGCTCGGATACATACATTACATAGGTGTGTGTGTGTTTGTAGGTGATGGGAGTCTGGGTGTGCGAGAAGGGAAGGCGGTGGAGAAAGGAACGGAGACGAGGGTGAATGTGGGCGGGAGTAAGAGTGAGACCGTGAAGGTGACGACAAACAAGAACCGGGATGGAAATATGCAGGAGGAGGAGGAGGGGGAGGAGGAGGAGAAAGAGGATGAGGAGACGGAGGTGGTGGAGTTTGAGGCAAAGAAGAATGGAGGTGAGAAGGAGAAATAGAATGGAGAGGCTTTGGTGAATGTGGACGTGAAGAAGGAGGTAGAGATGGAGTCGGAGGCGAGGGCGGAGGTGGAGGCGAAAGCGTAGGAAAGGAAGATGAAGGTGCGAAAAGAGGGCTAGGGTAGTTGAGGTCCATTCAAGCTCGTGTGAAGAGACACCTCCGTCTATCCCGAATCCGTACTTGTGTTTCAAAGGAGACGAAAGCGTTATGATGGAATTTACATTTAACAACATATTGTGAGGGCAAAACATTTATTAAAGTTTAGAGGTTTAACAATCTTTTTTGGTTGAAATTGTCAGGGATTGCACGTTTGGCTTTGGGCGGCTCGCCCGAGATTGCGTATGCGCACCTAGATGGTTCATGGCGGTAGTTTTTGATGGTTTTGCGCGTACTTTCTGCTGGCGTTCATGGTAGGTGGAATTCTTGCTGACCCTTTTCTAGACCCTTGATTAATTTGGGTTCGTTTTACTTCCCCTAAATCAAGTTCTAACCTGCAAGTAGCATGTCGTTATTTTGATTCAGCATGTGTATACGGTGTTGTTGTCATATTTATCTCTTTTTAATTTGTGCTGCCTAACCCCTTTAACTTGTGAGCAATGGTTAGAAGTCTTTGCCCAATTTTTAGCCCTTTTTAGAAATATATGCGTCCGATCTTTTTCTAGTTCCATTAGCGTATGGTGGTATTGCTGCTGTTCATGTAGGCTTCAAACCGGGTTCAGATCTTGATTGAGTTGCGTAAAATTATCCTTGACGGTCATTTACAGCATAAATGGGATATTAGGGTAGTGGATGTACATATTTTAAGTGATATTTGAAGGGGGTTTGTTTTCCATTTCTAAATATGAGCTATTAAACCCACCCACCTATGCCACTACCGTTGTAGCAGACTTTGTAATGGTGAAGGATGTTGTTGCAGACACTCCTAGTGAGTTTTCCTCACTTTACATCGATTTTCATCATTACATTGCTTCTTTTTCATCAAAACCTAGTGACAGCCAGCATCGGATATATCGTTGGGAGCCATGACGTCATGCTTAGCTGCATATGAGCAATCTGAGAAAAGGAATGTGGGATGCTTGCAAACAGCTTATTCAATGTAGCACCATTGATAGATGGATGACTGTTGAGGAAGAAGCCGGCTAAACATAGGTAACGATTGCTTCCCCCTGCCCATTGGCAGCACGCATTACGATCCTAAACAGCGAAGCACGTAAAAATAATCAGGAAAGCCACGAGCACTTTGCAGTGTAAAGGAAGGTAGGCAGCTATCCGGTTTCCACGGTTTC